GATTGGCTTTTATTTTTTCCTTCTCTTTTGGCCAGGGAATTTGCAGAATGTTAGTGCTAGAAATGAACAAGCACAAGCAGAGTGCTTTGTAATAACTTACATCCTATTTTAATCACCCTCAATGGAAAGGTCCCAGCACCCACACTAATGCCTTCCAAACACCAAATGGCTCTGTGATACCAAGATGTGTATATACACTGTTTGTCAATGTACACGGAAGGTGTTGCTAGTATACTGTTTAGTGGATAAGCTGATCATGACGTTTAACTCTCACCATACAAAGACATTTATAGCCACATGTGATGATCATCCTGCAATCCAGCATTTGAGAGGTGGAGGCAGAGGAACACAAGTTTGAGGTACGCTTAGGCTATGTAGCAAGAACCTATCTTAATTAAAAAAAAAAAAAAAGGACATTTTAGCAAAATTACACAGGAGAAAACAATTCAAGCAAACTTGTATATAAGTGACTTTGTACTTGTCATAACTACTACATTAAAAGAGTAATTAACTTTCAAGATAACAAACTAAGTCTGTGCTCACAGTATACCTCATAAGGTTGTTTTTGTGTTTTAACTTAATTTAATTTTGATTTAAAAACCTACTGCACTTGAAGCTCTCTGGCAGTCTCCCCTCCAAGTGTTAACCAGGCCTGGCCTTGCTTAGCTTCCGAGATCGGAGGATATGGGGTGTTCGGGGTGGTATGACTCTAGGCCCCCATAAGGTTTTAATGAACAAAAATCTAAGCAGAGAGCCTGGAGGTGTGGCTGAAGTGGTAGAGTGCATGCCTTGCAAGTGCAAGGACTAGAGTTCAAACTCCAGTACCGGCCAAAAAAATAAAAAAAATTTGCTGAGTGTTACACAAACTATTTTATGTGTTTAATGAGTCATAAAAATGCCTATGTTTCTGCTGTAGAAACAAGTTTAGGGGCCAATCAGCAAACTGCTATAAAGAAACAGATTCAGGAGATCTGTTGATCTGGGTCTGACTGCTATTTTCATGGAACTTGTGACTTCAGATTCCACCCTGGGTCCAGTAATTTTTATTTTAATGTGTATTTGATGGGTCGGGGTCCAGGGGAAGTAGTATCAGAGATCCTTGAAAATTTGAACTTGTAGATACTATTGCAAAGCTAGTTTTGAATAGAAAGGGAATGGAATTAACAACTGTAAATAGACAGATGATGAAGCATATTTTTAAATGATTTCTCATTTAAAGCAAAAAGCTTTCATTTCTTTCAGCGGCCTTTGGCTCTGGGAGCTGATATTTGTATGTATTCTGCAACAAAATATATGAATGGTAAGATATGCACAGTCTTCACTTTGTTCTTTTCCATGGATAGGTAAAATAAAATACTTGACACTTTAGTTCCTTTTCTTCTATTGTTATATAGGCTTTGTCTGTGACTCATGTAGAAATCTAAAAAAATGTGCTTTGATTAAATATAGGATTTCATTTATGGGGACAAAGTGATGTTTGTGATTCATGAGAAAAAGATTCAAATTTACTATAAAAGGTTATGCTCTTATTCTGCTGGCAGCTTGAAATGAAACCTTTAGTTTTTACAGGATTTTTACTTTATTGTTCCTGTCAAACTGTAGTGTCCCTAAACTTATTCTATAGGCCTTTTTCCTTGCTTCCCTCCTCCCCTCACCCACCAAAAGTTATATTTTGAAAATTATGACATGAGAAATGAACATAGTTTTTCATGTTAATTAATTAATTTTATTTAATGAATGAATGAATTTATTTTGGGGTCATAGTGATCAAACCCAGGGCGTTATGCATACTAGGGAAGTTTTCTACCAACCATTAATATTTTTTGCTTTATTTTAGGCCACACTGATGTTATAATGGGCTTAGTGTCTGTTAATTCTGAAGACCTCCATAGTAGGCTTCGTTTCTTGCAGAATTGTAAGTATTAAAAAGCTTGGATTTCCTTGTATGCACCAGTGGGTCCATTTGGTATTTGTTTGTATTTGCACAAAATGTTCTAAAATATTTAGAGAGAAAAAAAAATTCTGATTTTTAGAGGGAAGTAGAAAAAATGCTTATATAAATGTTATAGCATAGCAAACCTTTTTGATATGACCCAAGGAAACATTTGAAATGTTGCATTTCATATACTATACCTTTTGTACCTGGAATTGTGGTTAATTTTAAATAGAATATAACTTACAGGTGTGATTTTTTTGTTTTTTTGGGTGGTACTGGGATTTGAACACAGGGCCTCACACTTGTTTGGCAGGCACTCAACCACTTGAGCCACTCCAGCAGTCTCAATTTATAGTTTTCAACAGATATCTTGACACCATTTCCTGTTTATGTTTTGTTTATCTCAAGTATGGATAGGATTTAACTATTGCAATTTGACAGATAAGATAAAAACACAATTAGGAGTAAAAATGTCCTTCTTGGAGAAGCCAATTTACTGCTTGATAAATGGCTTTTCCCATATGAAAAGTAGGACTGAGGTGTGTGTCCTGGTGCAAGCGAAATCATCAGCTGCTTTAAGTGAAGGTTAAATAGAATGTTAGAGTGTTCAGTCATTAATGTCATTGAACTGCTATTTTTCTCTGTATATTACAGTAATTTTTCAAAGAAATGCAAGGCTAAGCTATGCATAGTATAATGTCATTAAAAATCAGAGGACTGTCTTCATATTTGAAAAGTTCATATTTCTGTGTTTTTACTTAATTTAAAGGGTACACATTTACCATCTTACTTTAAAGCACAATTCTCTTAAGTATATTTTATGTTTCATTTTCACGCTTGGTTTGTTATACCAGGTTCTCCTGTAAAACTCAATGTTGAGTTTTGTAGCTAGTTTCTCAGCGTCACTATGATGAGAATTTTCTGGGCCTCACTCCACCTTCAGACTACCCCAAGATGTGTTCATTTTTCAGCTCTTGGAGCGGTTCCGTCTCCTTTTGACTGCTACCTGTGCAATCGAGGTCTGAAGACTCTACATATCCGAATGGAGAAGCATTTCAAAAACGGAATGGCAGTTGCCCAGTTCCTGGAATCTAATCCCCGGGTGGAAAAGGTTATTTATCCTGGTATGTTCATCTGATTTCTAAGAAGATATGCTCAGACCAAGACTTTAAGGTTATCCTGAGCATTTTGCTTATGTAAAGTTTATTTGTAATTATGAACTTTCATGTATTCTTGTGTTATTTATTATTCATTTTTTGTTTTTTTGGTAGTACTGCAGCTTGAATTCAGGGCCTCCTTCTTGTTAGGCAGGTGCTCTACAGCTTGAGGCACTTCACTAGCCCTGTTTGGCATTGGGTATTTTTGAACCGATCTCTGGATCTCTGCTTCCTGAGTAGCAGGATAACAGATATGATCCACCAGCACCCATTTTACTTATTGTTGAACACTGCCATATCAGGCTCTGTGGTAGGTCTGGTGTAAAGCAGATACACGATCTTGACTTTGGGATTCCTACAGTTTAGTGGATGCTTGAGTGTTAAGAAATGAGTCTTGGCTACAAATGGTGGTGCATACCTGTAATCCTAGTGTTCAGGAGGTGGAGGCAGGAGGATTGTGAGTTTGAGGCCAGTTGGGACTACATAACAAAACCTTGTCTCAACACAAACAAAAACAAAAGTGAGAACAACAGCAGCAAAAGAAATTAGTTTAATATGCTAGGTGTTTCTGTGTTGGTCTTTAGCTTTAAGATTTGTACACTCTCATTCCAACATTGCAATATCGTACCCTTATTAGTTTATACTTTTGTTAGTCTGCTTTTCAGCACTAGTTCTATCTTTAATCTGATGCAGGTTTGTCACACTGAGACTTGACACTTAAGCCCCAAATTTCCCCCAAGGTGTTCTAACTTTGTTTTTTTCAATTCCTCACCCCTTTCAGCATCTAGAAATGCACATGTGGAGTTAGCTGTGGTGGCTGAGTTTCTTTTGTTTGGTTTTTTTTTTTAGATCTTTTTGAGGTATCTAGTCATGTAGTTTGGTTATGTAGGATAGTGAAGATTTGTCCTCAAGGAAATTAGATAAGCCAAGAGCTGTTGGCTGATATATATCTTTGATGGAGAGAGGAAGAAGGGTTTAGAATTGTGCCCTGAAGAATAGATAGCATATGTTAAAAGGGCATGGGCTCACTCAACAAATGTTTATTAATTACCAACTACAGGCCAGGATTTTCTGTAGGAATTAGGATCCAGTATTAACAAAAGGAGTAAATTTGTTCTTATGGAGATAGTCTGGTGGACCAGACATATTAAAAAAGAAATTACAGAAGGATGTAATTAACAAGAGGAGTCCAGATTAAAGTGATAGCATGTGCAAAGATTCTAAGATGAAAGGGAGCCCAGGGCTGCTGGTATAAGAAAGGTGGGATGGCCCGAGCATGGAAAGAGTAGAAAAGATATATATGTCAACATAAAATGGAGAGGCAGGCAGGGACCAGAACAATAGTGAGATGTGAACACAGCATTTCCCTCATTGTTGGGCTTCTGTGCAGTTTACTTAAGTGAACAGTGAATTTCCCCCTCAAAATAGCATGTTTGACTCCAAGTCTTTTATTATGCCTTCTGATTACAGGGCTGACCTCTCATCCTCAGCATGAGCTGGCCAAGCGTCAGTGCACAGGCTGCCCAGGGATGATCAGCTTTTATATTAAGGGCACTCTTCAACATGCTGAGACCTTCCTCAAGAACCTAAAGGTAACCTTTCCAAACAGGTTTTTAAATTGTAGAGGTAAGACCTCCTTACACTCGTTCATTATCTCTCACTTTAGATTTTGTGCCTGCAGGCCATAAATTCATAAACTTCATTGTGAAAGCATTGGGTTGAAAATGATGCAAACCACTAGGGGCTTAGTAGCACACATCTGAATGGGTCCATTTCTTAACTTCCCACATCTTACATTCAGTTGGAGAGAGACAAGTCTAATGCATTGGTTGTCAAATTTACTTAAAAGCTAATACTTTTGAAGTGGACTACTATGTGAAACCTCAAGGTCATGTGAAGCTGGTGCACAGATTGTTTTGAAGTCTTTTCCATGACTGGCTTTCCAACCCCTGCACTGCCAAGGCTGGAGGGAAGAGGATGCGTGGGGCAAGGGGAAGAGAAGGCCTTAGTCTAATTTTCAGAAGGCAGGAAGCTCTCATTAGCCCCAAAGGAGAGGCTCATTTAACTCTACACACTGTGCTGACCTTGACCTCATGGAGTAGAATTTGAATCGTATGATTCAGCTATAATGAACAGATTTCAGCCAGATTAGTCAAAGCTCCTCTGGAGTCTCAGATCTGTCTCTAAATTTAGAAAGATGGTATTAATTTAATATAGTTACGAGAGTAATTTTTAAAACATTTTATAAAATTAAGCTAAGCATGGATGGTGACACATACTTGTAATCCTAGCTATTTGGAAAACTAAAGTAGGAGGATTACTTCAGACCATGACTTTTAGGATAGTCTGGGGAAAATAGGAACAACCCGTAAAAAAAAAAGTTATAAAATTCTATGATATTGTAACATTAGCTTAGCCCAGTCTGTGTTGTTGCAGCAAAATGCTTGAGATTTGGTAGGTTAGCCTTTTTTTTCAATCCTATCATGGAATACCTGAGGTGGGCTACTTTATAAAGAAAAGGAGTTTATTTAGCTCACAGTTTTGAAAGTATAAGATCAGGTGGCCCATCCATTTGGGGAGTGAGAGATCACAACACCATACAGGAAGGCAGAGAGTGATTCAGAAGTCAGCTTTGCTCTTAAAACAATTTGCTGTCATGAGAACTAACTCAGAGGACTGCCTGGGTTAGTAGTACCCTCAGTAACCTAACAACCTCTCCTTAGGTCTCACTTTTAAAGGCCCCACCATTAAACTGAAGATTAAGCCTCCAACACATGAAGCTTTGGGTGGGCAAACCACATTCAAACCATCACAGCACTGGGTGACTTAGAAAGAGGATACTTGGCCCACAATTCTGGTATATACAGGGTCCAAACAGCATGGCAGTGGAATCCTGGTGAGGTTCCCTATCTACATTACAACATGGCAGAGAAGTAGAAAGGGAACTAGCTGCATGTAGAAAGGGCACATGTGTGAGCAAGTTGCCAAGAGACTGGAGGCAGCTATGCTCACTCTATATAGCAGCCTGCTTTCTCGGGTACTAATCCAGTCCCATGAAACCTGACTTACTCCCCAGAGTCAGCATAATCCATTCATGAGAGAAGTGCTTCAGTGACCTAATTACCTTCCTCTGGGTCCTGCCTCTTAAGGATTCTACTACCCCAACACCGTCACACAGGAGACTAAGGTTCCAGCCCGCAAACCTCTGTGAGACAAGCCATAGCAAAAACTAAATACAAAAGCTGAGGTTTTTTCCCCCTACTCCACTAGGGAGTAAAATGGATATATTAATTTAATAAGTGGTGCATATTAGCAAGTGTATACAGCTTGGTAAATGTGGTAGATATTTAAGTATAGGGCCAACTTAGGATGCTATAGGAGATTCACCTTAGACAGCTTTTCAGGTTTTAAGTATTCAAAGATAGCATGTCCAATTGGTGAAATCATTGTTAGAGACTTTCTTCTTCTTCTTTTTTTTTTTTTTTTGTACTAGGGTTTGTACTGAGGGCTTTCACCTTGAACTACTCCACCAGCCTTTTTTTTTGTGATGGGTTTTTTCAAGATAGGGTCTCCTGAACTATTTGCTAGGGCAGGCTTCAAACCCCAATTCTCCCGTTCTCTAGCTGGGATTGCGGGCATAATCCTGTTACACTGGTGCCCGGTTTTTCTCTGAGTTTCTTGCTCATGTTGAGTTTTTACGTAATTGCCACAGTTCTCCCTCCCCTCTATGCCACAGCCACCTCATTTCTTTTTCTTTTCTTTCTTTTTTTTGGCAGTACCGGGGTTTGAACTCAGGGCCTCACACTTACTTGCTAGGCAGGTGCTCTACCACTTGAGCCACACCACCAGTCCATCACGACCATCTCTTGAAAACATTTACTTTCAAGATTTTTGTATTTTTATTTTTTAGGAAGATCTAAATTTATGTTTTCTGGCAGTTATTTGTTCTGGCTGAGAGTTTGGGAGGATTGAAAGTCTTGCTGAGCTTCCGTGAGTATTTCTGTTTTACTCAATATTGACTGATTGATTATTATTATTATTATTACTTTGAAATGAAATGGGGTCTTGTTATGTTGCCCAGGCTGTTCCCAAACTCCTCTCTAGTGATTCTTCTGCTTCACTCTCACAAGTGCTGGGACTATGGGTGTGTGCCTTTGCAATCAACATACAGTGTCTTTTTTTTTTTTTTGAGGCAGCACTGGGGTTTGAACTCAAGGACTCATGCTTGCTAGGCAGGTGCTCTTACTGCTTGTGCCACTGCACTAGTCCTTTTTTGTGGTAGTCTTTTTTGACATAGGGTCTCTAGAACTGTTTGCCCAGGGTTGCTTCAAACGGCAATCCTCCTGATCTCTGCCTCCTGAGTAGTTAGGATTATAGACGTGAGCCACTGGCTCCCAGCAACTCTCAGTGTCTTCTACTTGATGTCATTCTTAATGATGTGTGAAAATGGAATGTGACAAAATTAAGGAAATAATTGAAGATATTTAACAATAAGAATAGTATGGCACTTAGTAATCTGAATGGACTGTAATTCAGTCAGGAGGAGACCTTGGTAAAATCTAATGGTGGGCTATGTGTTAGTAAGTTGTGTCCTCCCAGATGTTGCTTCCTTTCCTGTTCTGCCTTGAAGAGTTCCAGCAATAATTATATTCTAGGATCTCTAACCTTTGACCCAGTGCTACCTGTTCTACCTCACCTGGCCTTGGAAGGGAGGCTGGAGATTTTGTCCTGGAAAAGCTGTTATCAAAGCTCCTTGGGAAAGAAGAGAATGTATACCTGAAATTCCTTCATGCCCTTGGTTGTCAGAGAAAGCACTACTAGATACTGTCAAGTCTGTTTATTTTCTTTATAGGATAAGCATTTCAGGCTCCATGTTGTCTGCAAGATACAGCCAAAGTTGGTATTCCAGACTGCCCAGTACTTAACCTAACCAATTCATCTGTTCAGTAAAACACCAGAGGGTATTAGAATAGGCAGCAGCCTAAGATCATGCAGTCCAACAGCTTACTTTATAGACGAGGAAAGGAAGTCCAGAAAGTTTAGTCAATTTACTGAAATGTCATGCAGAGTACTTTATGACAACTTTACTCTTCAGGTTTTGCATTGAAAATAGTGAGTGGAGGTAAAAGGAGGCCAGATGTGGATTTGATATGTGTTTCTATCAATTATGTACCTTTAAACTTCACTTTTTTTAATCCATAAAATGGGATTAATAATTAAAACACTGATTATCATTTACTGATTATTTCTGTCCTATCAAGCATTTTGAGCTGTATTGTGCCCTTTGTGTATGTTGCTGTGACTATATATTGTAGTCATTATCAAGATAAGCCAGCATGATTAGTAATAATTTTCAACTGTTCCAAATGCACATGATATGATTTTTGTGTTTTAATTTTCATATACATTTCTGGAATGACTATATCTTAGAAGGATTGTACTGAGATGTCAGGGATTACCAAAGTTTAGCCATATTTCCTGCCTTCTCAAAGCCTATAGTTGTAGAGAGAGTCAGACAATCTCACAAAAAAAATGACATCTAAATAATGATTTGAAACAATCCATATAACACAGCTTTTGATAGACTTTCAGAAGATGCTTGCTAGTAAGTCAGGATGCACAAGAGGGCACACTGGCATATGAAATTGTTTAATTTTTCACAGTAATGAAATGTGTATTGCTTTAAAGCTTCCTCCTTAAAAGTAGATGTCTCCTGATTTATTTAGGGATTTGGATTAAAGTTGCTTGGCCTTGAGACATCCTGCTTAGGCTAACCCCAAAGTCAGTGGACAGGTAGATTTAGTCTGGCTTGTCTGTTCTGTTACCCTTCATTCTTTTTTTCCATCTCTGCCACCATTGCAGCAGCATTGCAATAAGGAAGAGAGCAAGTGAAGCCAAGGTACTGGGTTAAGTCTTCTGGACTAGAAAAGTTATATATCCTTGTAAATCTCAATTTCCCAGCTTTTATGATTGATTTGAGAACATGGCGGGGGGGGTGAGGGGAGTGGGGGAGGAGTCCCTAAGCTAATGCCTTTGATGTTACTGCTAGTAAGGCAAAATAAGTTTACTACTACGAATTATTATTTTTTATTAGGTATCTGCTACATTCCAGGTACTTGTACTGTTACATGTTTCCTTTCTTTGCTTCTTCTTTTTTTTTTGTGGTATTGAGGTTTGGAGTGAGGGTCTGTGCTTGCTAGGCAGGCGCCAGTAGTTACTTGACCACACATCAGCATGTCTCTTTCTTTCCTCTTTCCTCCCTCCCTCCCTCCCTCTCCTTCTTTCCTTCCTTTTTCCACACTCCTAACTCCCTCCTTCCTTCCTTCAATTTATGCCTGTGAGAAATTTTTTTTAAAAGAAGTTATATCCAATTTTTATCAAGTTTTTAAACAATTAAAAATCAAGTTTTTAAACTAGCAGATCACTAGTAGAGTGTTTGCCTCAAGGTAAATACACAGTAGGTGCTACCTGGTATTATTTCAGATAAGGAAATAGACTCAGGACAGGTAACTTTTACAAGGCGACAAACCCATGTGTGGAGGATATAAGATTCATACCCAAGTTTATTGGTCTCTGAGGCCTGAGTTCTTATTTCTACATGTATTCTCTCCTTTAAGGAATTAAGAGGCTGCCAAGGCAGAACATTTTAAGGAGGATGTTTGTGTGTAAAAACTCCATTACAGTGATGAAACAAACATCCATTCATTTTTCAGTCGATAACTGCAGGTTTTTTCTATGAATCTGAATGAGATGAGAAAGCAGTTTAGGCATTGGTTTCATCTATGGTGTGTGGGGAAATGAGGAGTGTTGGTGGCTGTGAACACACTGGGGCTAAGTAAGACTTAAGTCTTTCCTCCGGGCTCAATGCAGAAAGGTTTCTCCTTTCTTTACTCTGACATCTTTTGTCCACATTTGTTTGTTTTCTGTTTTGGAAATTGTCATAGTCTTTAGCTATTGCTTTGTTATCCAAGGAAGAGAAAATATCTCACTGTTCTTGGTTTCTTAGTTCTTATTGTAGGCCAGGCACCGGTGGCTCACACCTGCAATCCTAGCTACTCTGGTGGCAGAGATCAGGAGGATCACAGTTCAAAGCCAGCCTTGGCAAATAGTTGTGGAGAGCTAATGCCTATCTCAAAAATACCCAACACAGGGCTGGTGGAGTGGCTCAAGTGGTAGAGCACCTGCCTAGAAAGTTTGAGTTCAAACCCTAGTACTGCCAAAAAAAAAAAAAAAAAATTTCTTACTCAGTGCCTGATATATAATAGATGTGTACTTTTATGCATATTGATAGTGATGAGTTTCTAGGCTGGAAATTCTTCAAGGCTTCTGTGTCATGGTTTATAAGTTGGATTGCTGATGCTCAATGTTACTAATAGTGGTCTTAGGTTGTCTTTCCTGATCTACCTTAGAAGGGCCAAAATCTGGCTGATAATTCCTCATTTTTTACCTCTGAAAAATTATAAGGGCATAGAAACTTTGATATTTGGAGCAGAAAAAACTAAAGGTAATTGCAACATATGAGACAGAAATGCCTCAGCATTACAATATAATGACAAATTTACTTACATCTTCTTCCAGGGCAGTCATGACCCATGCATCAGTGCCAAAGAATGACAGAGATATCTTGGAATTAGTGACACTTGATTCGACTCTCTGTGGGATTAGAGGATGAAAAAGACCTGCTAGAAGATCTAGAACAGCTCTGAAGGCAGCAGTAAGTTGTGTGTGTGTGTATGTGTGTTTAATCTTGGGGTCATTACATTTACAAAGAGTAGCCTCACTGTGACTTATAAAGGTTTTACTTCCTGCAATAGACATGGTAGATAAATGTGAGGAAACTCTAAAAGCAGACTTAAAGGGTGGAAGTATTCAGAAGAGACTTCTTGGGGGATGGTCTCTGCTGATAGGTTAATAACATGTTCTTCTTGTTGTACTGTGAATATAGCACCCTTCAAGTGGAAATCACAACTAGCATTCCAGAACTGCTATTAGAAGCTGCTTTACTGAGAAGATCTCTGAATTATTGGTGAGACGATTAATGAGCCTTTGCAGAATTTTCAAGTGAAAATTTAAGGCACCTTATTACTTTTCACAACTGCAACCTTCCAGGAATCTTCCCTGTTAAAACAGTTTTCTGTATATGTTATTGTAACTGACAGATCAATGCTGTTGATGTTTTTTTGTTATACATTTGCCTCTGAAGGAGGAGAGATTCGTGCTGCTTTTTGGGATCATGTTCTTGTTTTCATCATCAAAGATTTATTTTGATGATGTTTACAATATAATGATCATTTTTGATGTTTTTGAAGTTAAATTATTAAATGAATGTCTTTAATCGATTGTGATTTTTGCATAGTGAAAAAAAATTATTCAAAGCAGTGGTTTACATTTAATTATCATAAGCCAAAATTCAAATAATTGAAAAGCTTATTATGAAATTCTATTGATTTAAGATTCTACCTATTACTTGTTTTTTTTTTTTAATAAATCTAATTATCAAATGCATCTCATTGTGACATTCTTGATCTAAGGGTTTTTTTTTTCCAGTGATACTGGGTTTGAACACAAGGCCTTATGCTTGCTGAAAAGCATGCTACCACTTGAGCCATGCCTCCAGCCCCCATTGTGATAATCCTATATTCTTGGTGGTCTCTTTCAATCTCCAATGACTGCTCTTAGAGGTCTCTCTGCCTCTTATATTAATTTTTATAAACTTAACTGAATATTGGTCTCAAATCTTAGAATTTTTAGGATATCATAGAAGCTGATGAATCTTAGTGCTGGGTAGGAATGCATGAGAACACATATTCTTATGTATTGTCTACATTCTGAATTATTATACATAGAGAGTCTATAATTTTTGTCTGTTGAGGCAGCAGCATTTTGAGGCAGGTCATATCTTACTGTATTCTGGCAGACCTGATTTCTTGCCATCTCAAGACCTTGCGGCTGAGGAAATAAACAAAGGCCAACCAAATGAAAAAAGTAAA